CAACGAACTATATCATGTAGGGTCTATTATGAATAATACAAGGTGAAATTTTGAAATTAGGTATTTTCTTCAAGACAATGAATTCATAGAATACCCGAGGTAATTGATTGGATTACATTAAAATAAATGCTCAACATGTTTTCCACCTTGTTGTTGGCAATAACATAGTCCCCTATAAAATTCATTCTGAACTTTGTTTAAAGTTTAAGGTGAAATATTCCGTATTTCTGTAGTTATCCTTTCCTTTTGAGGTCTTCAATGATAGTTGATTGTATTGCATATACTTTGTTCTTGAGCTAACCCCACAAAAAAAATCCAAAGGCGTAAGATCTGGCGACCTAGCCGGCCACTCAATAGTCCCCTTCATCAAATCCACTTATTGAAGAAGATTTCATTCAAGTAATTTCTCACCATTAAAGCATAATGGGGTGTTGTACCGTCTTGCTGGAACCAGACAGTTTCATGCGGTAGGGTCGGATCTATTGGATTGGGATATAAGTTCCGATAAGGATAAGGTCGGATCTATATATATATATATATATATATATATATATATATATATATATATATATAAATATATATATATATATATATATATATATATATATATATATATATATATATATATATATATATATATATATATATATATATGAAACCTAAAGCTAAGATTAATACTATTACAAAAATTAATATTAAACTCACCAGTCTTCCGGGTTGAACCGCGTCGATATCCATTGGGCCAAGCTTTCGACATTCTCTTTGATGTCTTTCTCAGGGCTTCCGAGGTCTCAGTCTCCCGAGCCCCCAGACACTACTACACTTGTTCACTTCACTGTCACTACTACAGTGTTTAAGTCCAGTGCGCACATAATGCAGATTATAATTCTATTACTATTTTAGTAGGTTTTTATATAAATAATTAACTTGTTCAGAAGAGCAGCATGTTTGTTTAGAAAACGCAGTGCAAAATTTTGAGGCTCTCAATGAGTTTTCAGTGGACAAGAATAACATTACGAATAATAGTGAACTTGATGATGAAGAAGAGTTTCTCTATTCTCCTAATGCAGATTCACTGGAAAATTCCAGAATAAAGTTACCAACTCAGAAGAAAATAAGTTTGAAGATAACAATTATTTAAACATAACTGTTCCTCCCACGGTTTCTCAAAAGAGAAAAAGAAACAGAAAAGCTGATATTTCACAATGGGTCCAATCTCAAAATAAACGAAAAAGGGAACACGGTGAATAATATCTCAGTAAAAGAAAGATGGACGGCAAAAAATGTGTTTTTGATGTTGAAAAAACAGAAAGAAGTATGAAACCGTCATGTAATTGCAAACTGAAGGCAAAGAAAACTGCATTATTAAAAACAAAGACATGGGGAGAGAAAAAACCATGGTACAAATGTTGGTCCGAGTTGGTGCAGCCCAAGATAAAAAACATCAAATCAACGAAGTCTCTAGAAGAGGCCAATCACTATATTTTCATCTGAAAAATTCAGCTGATGAATGACATAGGGTTTGCAAAACAATGTTTCTACATACGTTATGCGTTGGACAATGGACTGTGTCTGAATGGGTAAAAAAAAATGATCCAAATATAAATACAGAGGATACTCACACAACACCCGGTGATACCTCTTCACAAAATCTGAAACGGTCTAAAATATTTTAGGAAACAAAGGATGACTCTCCTAGGAATATTTTGCGTTCCTTTCTAATAAGTCTGCCAAAGCTTGAGTCGCATTATTGTAGATCATCGACTACGAAAACATACCTAAAACCCATATGGAGATCAAAGATGTAAGTATTTCGAGAATATAAAAAGAAGTGCAATGAAAAATCCCTACCAGTTAAAACATTTATGGAGGAATTCGAAAAGATGAATTTTAGCATACACCAGCCCAAAAAAGACCAGTGTGACCTCTGTGTGGGATTAAGGGTTAAACATGTGTCAGCGGATGCTTACAAAAGAGGCATAGAAAATAAAGAAAATGCTAGGGAGGAAAAGTCCAAAGACAAGGAGCAGTGTAAATTTGTATATACCATGGATTTACAGAGTGTACTTCTTGCAACGAATTTAAAAGCTTCAGCGTTTTGCTATAAGACTAAATTGATAGTCCACAATTTTACCATATTTGATCTCAAAAACAAATATGGTTATTGTTTTGTGGGGCACGAGGGAGAAGGTGGACTGTCCAAAAACGAATTTTCTACAATAATTTTTTATTTTATCCTTAATAAGATACCAACTCTTGAAGATAATGATGAAATAATATTTTACAGTGATGGTTGCAGCTACCAGAATCGAAACAATATTTTATCAAACGTACTTTTGTCTGCGGCCCATGAAAAAAAAATTGTGGTGGTTCATATATGAACTTATAAGAACTGGTACTTATAAGTACCTTGAAAAAGGTCATATACAAAACTCAGAAATCGGGAAATTTATACACCAGGCTGCTACGTCGACCTTTTTAAAAATGAAAGACTCACTCTTAAACCATATGAAGTAGGTATTATACCTTGATCGTACATTCTGGAAATTTTTTCCAATTTTAATTTTTATAGTTCAATGACTATTCGGTCTCCTTTATACAATGGCCCATTAAAAATAAAATTACAAAAATATAATCACTCACAAGAATTAAAATCCGTGATACCAAAAAACTTTTATACATTTTATGGTAATTTACTAACTTGTTAACTTTATTTGTTTCGCTATTATTTTTTATCAGTTAATATAAATGTTATATAAAATTATTTCTGATAAATTAAAAGTATACTACATTGCTAAATTAATGTCGACCTAATGAAGTATTCAAAATGTTCCCCGTTGTTATCTTGACAGTATGCTAAACGATGGTAGAATGCATCTATTACATTTATTCATGTTTATCTAGAATTCGCTCTTTTTTTTATCAAAAATCATCTATATTGTAGAGCTTTTAAAAAACAGAAAATAGCTGTCAGCTTTAATTATTCATACAATTTATTTTACAAAATATTTCAATGAAGATCAACAAATTGTTAATTTTATGAATTAATGTCAAAATCACAGCATTCTATATTTATTAAATTAGGTACTTTAAAACTATTTGACACTGAGAAGTTTTATTTATTTAAGGCCCTCGTGACTAGATAAAATACTAATAAGTGTTACTTATGATTGAACTCGTATTAAAGTAAGTATTCCAATAATAATACAATAAACAAAGCGTTGTATTTTAAAAACGCGATATAAACTTAGAAGTGATTAATGATATCAGAAAAATGGTAAATCTGGCAACATTAAAAGCATCAAATTTAACATCTCCATATGATCTCCGTAAATCTTCTACAGAATAGGCTTTTTTCCGATTTTTGCACAATTCTGAACATCATTTAAGAGCTAATTAGACAAAATTCAGCAAAATACCATGGTTATAGAGTTTGAAGGTAAGTATTCCATAAGAACTACCCTGTTACATGCATATGAAAGCCAGAAACGACGCAAATAGATAATTCTAAAATATAAGCTATCGAAATGAAAGATTAAAATAAAGGAATACGGAAGAAAATGAGAATAACATATAAACGAATTGGAGGTTTTCTACCTGTACATTTTGATGCAGGTGATGATGATGAAGCACATTATATGACTGAGATATTGATTGCAGTAAATTAGGAATAATCACCTCCTCTATTCCAATTTTTTTAAAAATTACGGTAAAATTTCATGATTCTATAATATCTTTAATATCTTCTATAACATTTTTTTTATACATTGCAAACATTTCTTAACTGGTTTTTCCATAAATGTTGCAAATGGAACGTTAGCAAATGTTGCTGGACGTTAGCAGCCTTCGAGACCACATAACAAATCAACAAATCAGACAAAGATCATGACATCAGATCATACGTTATCGAAAGAATCATGACGCTTAAGTGGAACTAGACAGGGCACTTAGCTAGAACACAAGACGGACGGTGGACAAGACGAATCATAGAATGGGGGTACAGAAACTATAGACGGCTTGAAAAGAATAGCGGGAAACGTGATAAAAAGGACCTAGTGTAGATAATATTAAAAGAGACTGAGGGATCTAAACATCGAACAAATGAGAATAGCCAACAGATTGAAGAGGATAAGTGTAAAATAAGACTAAGACTAAGATAATAAGAGAATAGTGTATAAACAGGCTTATATCAATCATAATGAGATAAATTTCATCTGGATCCGATCACTATAGGAATAAAAGGCAACGAAACTGCTGACCATAGTGCGAAAGATGCGATAGAGAGTGACGTTTCCGAAATCGTCGGTATCAAACACATCGGTACCAACGGATATAAAAGCTTATATAAAAAAATCAATCTTAAGTGCATGGAAAAATAAATGGAATGTGACGAATTCAAAATTAAAACAAGTGAAACCCAGCGTGGAGACATAGAATGTGTTACCTACGTCAAGAAGCCAAGAAATAATAGTAACGCGCAGCAGACTCGGAAATACTAAGTTAACGCATAATTACTTAATTAAAAAGTGCAAACCGCCGCGATGTGAAACGTGTAATACGACGTGTAATAACACTAAAAATAATGCACATACTATGTGAATGTCCCCACAACAATCAACAACGAAGTAACAGGAACACTTCTAGAAGCTTCAGTTGTAGACTGTAACTTTAACAATACTCTGAATTTCTTGAAAGACATTAATAAGTGCCTTCCCCAATATTTAATAAACCAAATTGTAATGCAGTAATTTTACCTAATGTAATCCATTAGCTCATACGACTTTACTTTACTTTACTCTATAGTTGTTACATTCTTGTGACCTAAAAATTGTTTTACGCCGTTTACTCTCATTTTATGTTCTAAGGCTATAATAATCTATTAAACATAACCACCCAAAATCAATATAAAAATGATACTGCACTGTACCACATAAATAAACACAAAAATTGACTTTATAAATTACGGTATTCTGGGTTTTTTGTTGTCAGTTCAGGTAACTAAACGCATTAAATATATATTCAATTATGAGAATACATATTATTTTTGTGGCCTTGTCCGTCTCACTTGCTTATGGTTTTTCCACAACACTTCCACCTGGAGGTAAGTAGATGGAGTTATTGGAAAAAATTAACGATAACACATTTTTACATAGATATATGCGTAATAACACTGTATTATGCATCAGGTAAAAGATTACTATTTTGTAAATACGTAAATGATAAATAAATATTTGTTATTTTTTGGCAAAATGAATTTTTTTCATTACTTTTATTAACTTTGTTAACTGTCTTTTTGTTGTTTACTGCTGTTATGCCCATATTTTAATCATACTTTGCATCATGATTTTCTGTGGGATATATCAGCCTAACTTGATTTCTTACATATTTTTTGGTTAGTAGCAAAATGATTTGGCGGCAAATCGTTTTTCTACAGGTAGAGATCATAGATTGATCGAGCAAAATTACGAGTCTATGATTACTACTTTTTTTTCAAAATGACTTTGGATTACTTGATCCATTCAGCCACGATAGATAATAAATACTGTTTGCTACAATATTAAATATAAGTGAATATTTTGTACATATGTGCACATATAGGTGAAGGACGTGTACCTCTGCATGTTTGTGCCTTTCGACAACTTAAGTATTTCAAAAACTACAAACTGAAGCTACAAAGCTTCAACTATAATATTTTTTGTAGAGTTGGTAACGATGTGTGAAAAACATGTTTGCTACTGTGTGTTTAAAGCTCCGAGTTAGCTTGGAAGATTTTTATTGATAAAGTAAGTTTATTAACAATATTTACCAACATTTATTTTGGCAATCGCCCTAGTTATTGCAAAACTTTTGATATCAAAATAAACAATAATAATCTAGATAATATTTATGTATATCGTATGCATACGTATCTTATAATACCTCTGGACGTGTCCAAAGTATTTCGTCATTTTTACACGAGTATTTTCGGTGTGAGTAATTTGTATAGAAGGAGATGGTGGGCATTATCGCTAAGGAAATCGGAGGCAACAAGTTTAGCTAGAGCCACTAGTTTTAATAAAAACAATGTTAAGCGATTTTTTAATAATTACACTGATGTAATAAAGACGTATCAATTTGGCGCTGAACGTATATTATAACTTGGATGAAACTTCAAATTTTACAGTACACAAATCATCTAAAATATTAGCGCCTAAGACCATTAAACAACTTGGGAGTTTAACCTCCTCAGAAAGATGAATTAATGTTACCATGATACCTTGCATAAATGCAGCAAGTTAAACTATTCCATCATTATTTGTATTTCCTCGTGTGCACTATATGTGACTACATTACAAATAAAGATCCACCTAGATGCATTGGAGCAGCATGTCCTTCAGAATGGTCGACAGCAAAGATTTTTCCGCAATTTTTGGAACACATAATATCTTATACTAAACCTACCCAGCAAAAGGAAAATAGTCGCTACAATTAATTCTACAAGAAAAAGTAAAAGAAAAAAGTGAACCAGCAAGGCGAAGAATTTCCTGACTGATAAATCTACGTATGTGGTTCAACACAACAACCACAAATATTTTCAGAGCAGCAGTGTGCCAAATACAGATTGCAATCATGATCGCCATTATTCGAAACGGATAGGCAATACAAGAAGCAGAAATCTACCCAGAAAAGGCCAATACTCATTATCATGCATAATCATGATACGATATTTCAATAGACATAATTGATAAAGCCAAAAATTCCCGTATAGTTTTATTAACAATTCATCCGCATACATGGCATAAAATGCAGAACCGAGAGGTTTTTGGAACATATAAAACTTCTTACCACAAAACTGTAGAAGACTGTATGTGAAATGATCCTGGAAACTAATAAGTATTTATGACGTTACAGGAATTCCAGCAAAAGCTTATCTACAAGCATTCACACCAAAAAATATTGTAAAAAGTTTTGAGGTTACAGGTTTGTAACCAGTTAACACCTATATTTTTACAGAAGAAGAATATCTGCAATCCTATGTCATAGGTCAACTGGAGACAACAATGTCTGATAAATCTACTTCATTTATTGCTCTTGGTGACCCAACTTCTAATTCTTTGACTTTAATCCTAGCTGAACATTTATCTACCCCGTTTACTTTCATTTCTATTCCTGTTCGTCCACTTCTTTTCAAGTTGATGATCAAACTTTAAAGTTTAGCTGTACTACGTCACCTGTAACTGATATGCCTCTATCTATAACTGTAGGGTCTATAGCACCGTTTCCAAAAGCAGATTTACAAAGCAGGGGAATGTGTAAGAAAGGAAAAAAAATCAAAAAGAAGCTGATTAAATTTCTTTCTAGTTCTTCATCTGATACTGAAGATGACGATGAAATATCCTTATGTGACCCGTGTGATGAAATGAATTCTGATAATATGGTTGAAGAGGATGATTGTGCTGAGTTTCAATTATAAATATGATCTTCAAATAGTAGTAGGAGACTTAACAAACTCTATTCTAAAAAGTTAGTTAAATATTACGTAACTAAAGTACTGGATAATAATACTAGTTATGTTTTAAAATTTTATGAGAAAACGCAACAAAACTTCCATTTCATAGAAGGAAAAAAAGAATTATATGTAGCCGATTTTCAACATATAGTGCTTAGATTACCACTGCCTCAAAGCGCGGGTTAATCAAAAAGGTTTATCGCTCATGTTAAATTCAACTTATCTTTTGTCAATTATAATGTTTTTAATATACTTATTAAAACAATATTTTATTAATATTGTTATTAATATTGGTAATAAACAATATTTTAATTGATTTTATCCATTTTACTGATTATTAAAAAATATAATATAACACATACCTACTTGTAATTTTTTATACGTCCACAGGTGCAACCTCCGTCCAAAGGTATTGTTACGATTTTAAATATTATTGCGTATAAAACTGTAAATACATTATGACTAACCACGTATTTTCTAGATCACGCACCGGCCGAGACGCAGGTAAAAAACCTACCTGACCCTATGGGTCCCCCTTCGATATGAAAGCGGTCAACTACTACTCGATCTTTCTGGAAAGAGGCCGCTATAAAAAAAACCAGTTCTAGACTATTCAGGTCAACTTCCGTTTACTTCACGCCAGATCCTTCCAGATAACGGCGTTTAAAATAAATAACGGCGATTCTCATTGAGGAGGGTTAGTTAACAAGAAGACCGCGGATATCGGGTTAAAATTGTATCGAACGCAAATAAATTATTTGTAATTATTAAGTGTAGAGAGACTTTTATTTATTAAGTGTATTATTAAGACTTTTGATAAATTATCGTGAGTTTTAATAAATTAAAATAAAGACAATAAATTAGGACTAATAAAAACATTATAGTGGTGCAGAAGTGAGATACTTTAAATAAAAAACGGGATTTTAAATAAATTGGTGAACATGGCTACGATTTACGAGCTCACAGTTACGAATTTAAGAAGGCATCTTGAGGACAGAGAATTAGCTTCTACCGGAAAAAAAAGGCTGAGTTAGTCCAACGACTAAAGAAGGCTTTGGAGGAAGAGGGTTTAGATCCGGAAACTTATATATTTGAAGATGCTGTCATCTCGTCGATTTCGAAATTAGAAAACAAAGTTTCTGACGATATTTCGAAATTCTCTGGTGATGTAGCCAAAGTCTCTGGTGATGTAGCCAAGGTTTCCTGTGATATCGCATCATTAGAGAACAAAGTCTCTGGCGATATTTCGAAAGTTTCTGGTGACATCGCGTCATTAGAGAACAAAGTTTTTAACGAGATTTCTTCTCTAGAGAGCAAAGTTTCTGCTAACATCTCCTTGGAAATCTCTAAAGTCACTTCGGAGATGTCTGCCCTCGATGATAGAGTGTCTTCGTTAAAGAATCAAGTTGCTGCCGATATGTTGGCCTTCGAAGAGAAGATAAAAGAGATGGAAAGGAAGATGGAGGAAACAGGGACAGCAGAGAGTGAGAGAAAACAATCCAATTATAGCAGAGACAAAAGAAGACGAGACGAAATGTAAGTTAGAAACACGGCCGAAATTTGAAGGAAGTGGAGGTTCTGTTCATGTCAAAGTCCCAACTTTCGACGGAAAATCGTCATGGAACAACTACATGAAACAGTTCGAATCAGCTGCAAGAGCGAATGGATGGTCTGAATAAGAAAAGGCTGTAAACCTGACTATCGCTCTTCGAGGAGATGCTTTAGATGTGCTTCAGACCATAGCCGTAGAGGAGACGGATGATTTTGAACAACTTAAGAAGAGGCTAAATATGCGGTATGGCCACGAACACTTGGAACATGTATATCAGTCACAGCTTAAAAATCGAAGATAAAAGAAAGATGAGGCTCTTCAAGAATATGAGGTAGATATTGCCAGATTAGTGCGATATGCATATCCAACAGCTCCCGAAGACATGATGGAAAAGTTGGCCGTACAAACGTTTATTGATGGTCTTCGTGATCATGAAATGCAGAGAACACTACGATTAGCTCGTCATAAGACGCTGGTTGATGTCTTATCCGCCGCCCTCGAATACGAGTCAGCTACGCGGGCCTCTGGCGGGTATAGTAAAGTTAGGACTGTAAAAGAGGAAGGAGATGAAGATAAACTTGACCAGCTCGTTAATATGATGAAAAGCATGACATACAAGAAAACAAAGACCGTAAGATGCTGGAATTGTGGCGAAATAGGACACGTACGAAGTTCCTGTAAGCATCCTAGGTACGACGCAAATCAAAAAAGTCACCTTCAGGAAAACTAGAACGGGTCGGCCTTAGGGGGGCAGCTTCGACCCAGAACTTTTCCAAAGACCCTCTCATACTAATAGCTTCTTTGAAATGTCGTGAAGATAGTGTATATGTAGATGGAGAAATAAATGGTAAAAAGCATACGTTGTTGGTGGATACCGGAGCGACTAAAACCAATATTCGCCCGACAGTTATAAACAGCCGTAAGAAACTGTTACCAACGAGGTTGCGACTGCGGACCGCTACAGGTGAAAATGTCAACATTCATGGAGAAATCCAGGTACAATTAGGAATTGGAGCAGAAAAGTTCGTCCATACTGTTATAGTTGCTGACATCGAAGAGG